CTGTAGAACCAATTTTGATCAATATACTGCAAGAATTCCCATCAATAAATCCGTGGATTGTTTTTTTTTTTTAATAATGAACTTTATATATATCTCATTTTGGGCAGATGGAGCATTCTTAGCTAAACTTCGTCTAATAAGTCCACTTAATTTCTGTTTTCCGAAGTCTGGTTAGCCCTTAGCTGCGCCTTTGATCTATTTGGGCTTAAAGGCTCATTATTTAGGTACTGACTCTTTAGTGTATTAACACCTGTTTATTCCTCACAGCCTTGGCTATAATGGCCACAATTCCCACAACTATAACAACCACTTCTTTCTGGTATCCTTTGGGAGGAGTTGTTATTCCATTAAAGCCTTTGTTTATAGTTTTGGAAGTATGTCCTTTGAAGTTACACTTGAAGCAATAATCCTGTTGTGGTTCATTTCCTCCATTTTGTTTAACTAGCTCTCTAACTAATCTTTTCAGTTCTTCTAGACTATCATCAATGAGAGTTGATGTTGCAATACTACTGGATCAGATGATCCCATAACTTCTAGATGGTGTCTTTAGTAGTTTATATGTGATAATGGATTCAAGTTCCCTTGCCAACTACAGAGCTTCCTTTAAAGATGGCCCGGCATGGCCAGGTGGTTAGGGCGCTCGACTCGCAATCTGCGGGTCGCGGATTCGAATCCCCGTTACACCAAACATGCTCGCCCTTTCAGCCGTGGGGGGTGTTATAATGTGACAATCAATCCCATTATTCGTTGGTAAAAGAGTAGCCCAAGAGTTAGTGGTGGGTGGTGATGACTAGCTGCCTTCCCTCTAGTCTTACACTGCTAAATTAGGGACGGCTAGCGCAGATAGCCCTCGTGTAGCTTTGCGCGAAATTCAAAAACAAACAAACAAACAAACAAACCTTTAAAGATATACTTTTCGTTTGCTTCAACCTAATTTACATATCCTTGTTTACCAATGAATCCATCATTTCACGTGGAGCATCTCGGTATGATAACTGGACAAGCCTTTCTAGATCTTCTGTAAATTTGATTAAGGTTTCCTCTTTCCCTGGGTTCTTCTTTCTAGTGTGTCACTTTGAATCTCTTGGAGAGGACAGCTATTGAAGCTCTCAGGTGGAAGGTTGCTTAATGTTATTAAAGCTGGTCTTTTTAAATATGCAGCAAAAATAATAGCTTGTTGTTCGCTATTCGACTCATCCACTTCGAAAATTATTTCACACTGAACCAGATATGCCTCCCATTGTACTTTACCATCATATTCCATTAGTTTCTTGATCAGACAATGTTCTTGATCTGGACAACTAAAGTCTAGCACTAGATTTAGTAGTGGCATAACTGTATAGTCCTAGAAGGTCTTGCAGTCACAGATGGCACAACAGTAGTGGTCATGGGCGTAGACCAAATAGATTCTAAGTTCCATATTTTGTAATAAATGACTTTTTAGGTTAGAATTCTTGGACATATACAAAAAAAGGGTGTAGCTGGTTTAATCTTTACATTTACTATTTATTTTCCAAATGTTTTATTCTGTTACTGATGGGTTTTCCCACTTCATTAATCTTAATGTCATAATATTTCTGTACCTCATAAAAGTCTTTCTGTACTTTATTTCAATGATGTCCTTTTGTACTTGACTTTTGACGTTTTAAGAGTAGTTATACACTTCTTCAATCTTGCTTTCATAACCCCTCTGAACATCTCCAAAAGCTTCATCAATCTTGAGTATTTGAAAATATATGCGATAACTAACGCCGGCCACAATCCTTCACTAACTTCAAAATTATTTAGGGCCTGGCATGTCCTGATGGTTAGAGCGTTCGAATCGCAATTTGCGGGCCACGGGTTCGAATCCTCTTCTTCAAGCATGCTCGCTCTTTCAGCGATGTGGGCGTTATAGCGTGATTGAAAATCAATCCCACTATTCGTTGGTAAAAGAGTAGCTCAAGAGTTGTGCTGTGGGTGGTGATGACTAGCTGTCTTCCCTCTAGTCTTATACTGCTAAATTAGGGACGGCTACTGCAGATAATCCTCGAGTGGCAAAAATAACAATAATTTAGGTAAGTTTTCAAACTATAACCGCACATTCGTAAAAAGGAAAGTTTCATAATTCATAAATTGTCAAAAAACAGATAATGAAAAGCGTATATTACAAATTCAAAACCCTACAATTAACAAAAGCACAATCGTACAGTGTTTGCTTTATTACATTTTTAGAGCACGCAATTATGATTGGAGTATATTACTTGACGTCATTACTACAGTGTCGTCTTTTTTTTTAGGTATATTGTTTTTTAATGGTTTGCCATTATTAGACGTATAAACTGTAACTTTTTAAGTATAATCTTTCTTTTTGCATACTTTTGGTAACTACGCGTGTTATTTGGTAAAACTTATCATTCAACATTGTGTTGATAGTTACAGATAGATACAGAAAAACAGCGTGACTCTGACGTAATGATAAGGG